TCATCTGCAGTTTGTGATCTGTATAGTTTCAGGTACATCACAGTGAACTTGAAAACAGCAGTGATAACAATAAGCAGAGGACGCTCACGTCCAGTGGCAGAAGGGAAATGAAACAGTGAAGACGATCAGGGAAAGTGGTATTTAAAAATAATACAAAGACTGATTGAATGTGAAAATAATAGAGAAGATGGCAGGTCCTTGTATAAAGCCGCTCCCCCTGTCTGACAGGGTAGGTACAGTGACATTAGCATAGTGATTAACAGTCACATTATCATAATGATTTATACCAACATTAGCATATGCAGAGTGGCGGAGAGAGAGGCACGGGCCAGAGCCAGAGAAATCCCGTCAAGAGGCTGAGAGGAGGAGGGAGAATGAAAAAGAAATGATTCAGTGGAGTGGAAGAAGAGGCGATTTTCCATCACAGCCGTTGACAGCTTCAGCACTGTCCACTCCAACACGTCTTCATAGATACGTTTCCTCGTCATGCATGCTGCATGGCTCGGTCATGAGACGGGAGCGTCTCAAAGAGGGAGACGAGCTGTCAGTTCTATTCCCTCCAGCAACACAACCACGACCCGTGTCCTCCTCTATAGGTGGAAACACTGACCACTGCATACGTGGACTGGAAATACTGGGCAGAAAAAAATGTGGTTTCATAAAGGGGACTGTTCCTGTATGGAGTCAGATCACTGCTGTCTATGAACTTGGAATCATGGTTCTCCTGAGATACACGTTAAAACCTCGGAGAAGGGTGTTGTGGGTAAATAAAGGTCTTTCACCATTTCACAGATTTGAACATGAAGCGAGTCGATTGACTCATTTTCTGTCAGACATGTTTGAAACACAAAATAAAAAATCCCATCATGCTCAGGTGAAGAAATAAATGAATCGATAAATACGGTCTTTCAGGATTCAAAGCAAATGGAGGCTGCGCAAACTTATGTCAAGAGCAGCAGCAGAGCACATGTCGTCCTATGGTGCCAGAACTACACGGGTCTCAAGTCAAGTGGATTTATATTGACAGCAATTTGCGAAAAAGGGTTTTTCAGGTCTACGTAAAACAAGAACAACAAAACAATCAAACAGAAGCTGGAAGAAAACATTTTTAAAATCTCCCGGCCGAGGATCCATCTCTACACTTGCACCTCTAACTGAAACTGAATCATAACGCGTTTGATGCCTGGTGCTTATTGGGGAGCGGTGAACCGAGCGGACCGCTCAGCACCGCCAGGCGTTGTTGATTTTTCGATATCATTACCAGTATCACCTGCAGCCGCTGCCAGCGAATGAATTTCGGCAATTACATTGATTTTCCTGAACAAGTCCAGTTTAACTGCATGAATCCAATCGTCAGCCGCAGCCTCATCCCTGAGAGGATATTTCCCAACATCCTCCTGTGTTCAGTGGTTTAGCTAAATCTCTTCTTTTTTTTTTCCAGGCACAGCACTCGAGGAGTCGAACTGATAGGATACCCATTACCCAACCTGATTTATGACACCCCTGTAATTAAAACGTGGTTATCTCAATGTAATGTATGCATGCTACACTTGAACCCCATATAATTTCAGTGGCAAAGACATGTCCAAACACACCATTACAGGCGTCGGAAAGCATTAAACTGCGTCTAATCGCCAAACCAATCAGCAGCCAGACGGCGGCATCACGTGACCAGGGGATGCTCATTAGCGGTATGAACAGATGGACGCAGGAGAAATATGGAGAAAGTCTCCTGTGCTGTTTTTTACGGAGCCACTCATTGAATTCAAACATGCACAGGTGAAAAGCATCAACAAAACAAGTGTGTGTGTGTGTGTGTGTGTGATATTGCCAGAAGCGCAGAAAGCCACGTGTTGGTCCAGAGAAGATTGAAAGTGAATTGGAAGCTATTAATCTGACCGCTCGCTCTCACATTTGGTTTGGAGCAGAATATATATATTCACTGTATGTGCTCTGTTTCTCTCAGAACTCGTCTCTCTTCCTTTATATCTCCTCACATTGTATCTCCCTCCCTTCTTCCCAATCCACAGGTTCAGATGTGTGGAGCAGCATTTCACATTTCGGGTTTTGGAAATGATCTCCGTTAATCCCCCTCCGCCCCTCGCGCTCTGCTCTGCGTGAGGGGACTGGGTTGTGTCTCTGCACGGGACCTTGTTAACATGATATTCACAGCTCCACACAGATGTGCATACAGCGACAGCACTCCCTCGTTGGAAGCTGCATTTGTTGAGGAGTCGGGAGGAGAAGCCGCAGACCGTGACGCGTTTGCCTTGGCGTTTTTGTTTCTTATGCAATTTTGTTTCAGCAGGGGAATGAACGATTCAGCAGAGACAAACAGAAATGTCACAGGGATTATAGACGGCTGGCAGCACCTCCGTTTGAGCAAGTTACTATATAGAAACAGAAAACTCAAAATATTGCACCTCTGTCCAGACTCTGTTCAGTTCACTGTCTGATATCTAACTATTATGAGTCAATGAGATAAAGTTTTGGTTGTAAATTGCGGCTGAAGGAAAATACAAAGCAGGGAGCTGCCTGGAGTTGTGGTTGTTGTTGTTTTTTTTTTATTCCTGGCAGATGATTTAATTTCTCACAAAGTGAAACAACTGCGAAATCTACATTCTGATGTGCGTTAATATTGATGACAGAGAAAAAGACTCAAACTAAAACGAGCAGCTGAGTAACCCGCACTAAAGAGCGAGTGCAAATGAAAGACAGGAGGTAAACTGAAAGATTATCACCGACAGCAATTTGGAATAAACGCGAAGTGACAAAAGTTTGATCTGTCTATTACTGCGGATTGCTTTATTATTATTATTATTATTCTTCCGTGCCTCACCTCCTGCGTCTCTACACGTCTTAACAAATGATTTAACCTAACCGAAGAACTCCGTCTAGGAGAGAAGGGATGGAGACGAGTGACGGAGAGAGAGGAAGGGAGAGGTGGAGCTGAGGCAGACAACTGAAGACAACATGAAAGTCTCAAAACTCTTAGTCTATCATCTTTTTAGACCCTTTGACTCTTTTTCGTTTTTCTTTCCATTGTTTCTGCAACTTGAACTCTATCGGTTTTTTTTAGTTTACGTTTTTACTACGATAAAAGTTCCCTCACTTTCATGTTACGCTCTTTGAGTTTGTCAGTGCCCTTGAATTTCTTTCCAGGTCACGGCGGATCGCTCCGGTCAAATTTTCAATTCCCGCACGCATCACTACACATGAGTTAGTGTTTAGCGACCGAGGAGACACGTGGGGGTCTACAACTACAGAAAAAAAAACATGCTGCAAGATATATATCACAGAGGATATTCCATTTGTGTTCATGTGTTTAGTCACTGCCATGTCCTTGAGTGTTTTTTTTTTTTCACTGACGTGCTGAGGCCTGGATTTTAAGTTTCGGATATTTTCATTTCTTTGTATCTGCCACTCTGCAAACTGAGAGCCTTTCTAATGTTCAAACACCAACTGCCTTGTCTGAAGTCTAAAATCCTACAGTTTAAATTATATTATATTGTTTGGTTACAGCGGAGACTGGCAGACAACCTAATAACACAACAGGCTCGATGCATTCCCAAACCAAACGATGTTTTAGACAGGGGCCTTTATCCAGATTATTTCCTTTTTCCACTTTTACTTCATTCATTTACGTCTTTTTTTTGCATTATTACAAAAGGTGGATTAAAGGATTTCCTGTATTTCACTTTTTTATTAATGCCCTCAGGCAATTTATGCCAATATCCCTCTGGAGGGAAATCAAGCACAGCCACGCATCCAGAGAGAGAGAGTGGACTGAATGTTTTCATACACACAAAGAAGATTTCACTCGTGGATCAATCTACTGCACAGTGGACCTGGTCAATACAAGCCTTTTTCATTTTAGAGGGACACACACTCACACACACACACGCACACACACACACACACACACACACGCACACACCTCTATATTCACTCATATTTCCTTCCATGCAGTTACAGACCTGTAAAAATATCCTAAAGAAAAGCATCACACAACTAAACGTCTATATTTGTTTACAAGTTAACCTTTGTGGTAATGAATAAAAATGTTTCCACTATAGTGAACGGAACTGTTGGATGTGTTTACGTGGACGGGAAGTTTTACATTTAACGTTTTGTCGAAGCAGAGAATTCCTCTGTTCTCTATCTTTAGCTTCAAGGAGTTTAAGACTAAGAAAGTTAGGAAATCTACTGTGGAATTCAATAAATTCTACTTTACTTGTTTTGACTTTTATATTTTCATCTATATTGTATGTAAAGCACTTTGAGCTGCATGTTCTTGTATGAGAAGGTGCGATACATATATTATTATAGCGTTGACATAGAAATAAACAGCCAGAGAGAGAAACAGACAGACAGAGATTGAATTAAAACCAGGACAGAAACACAGACAATTAAACAGAGTGTTTTTTTTTCTCTCTCTCTGATTTAAGAGATTTCCCTCAGGAACACATTTCATTCCGATCTGAATGGATGGTTTGCCTATTAAGCAACTCTTATTCCTTCTCCTGTTTCCATTGGTTGGTTTTAAATCAGGCCCGGGCACAAGCTGATGTGATGCCTGCTTAATGAAATGATAGGAAGGCTGAATGTCTACAAACACAGCATTTCCTTCCAGCTCATTCAGGCTTCCTGTCACAGGAAATCAATTGTGTCAGCTGACTCCAAACACACAAACACTATAATTGTGTCTGTTTCATCAACACACACGTGCTAATCTGGGAAGCTCACCCCTGACAGCAACATCAGTGTGTGTGTGTTTACACAGACTTCTGCTTTTAACTCGGAACACTGAACGTCGCACAGTGACGACGCAGCATCGGGGGGTTGTGTGTGATTGACAGGCTCTCTGGAAGATTGAACCAGGAACCTTACCGCACTAGCTCCTCAACCACATCACTCATTTCTACTGTAGAGATAGTTCTTCTGGATTTCTTCTTAAGTTATAGTGGAAGAAATGCAGCTCAATGGAAAACCGGGGCATCTCTGAATTTGTCAGATGAGGTGAAACATCGAAAAAAGCCAGAAATGATTCACACCTTAATCCATCACAGACTAATGGGAAATTAAACTTTTGAGTGAGACAAGGCTTCTTAATGTTTTCTTTATGGCCTGGAAATAGAGAGATGTTAAAATGATGATGAGTGAAGATATCGAAGGAGGATAATCCCTCAAGTTGCATTCATCAGGATTCACGGAGGAAAAAGGATATGGGCTGGAGACCATGCGGATGCACAAGCTTCGAGGGCAGGTTGTCTGCTTGAGGCAGAAGAAAACTACCGGCACCAGCTCGGGGTAGGGCACTATTAACACGCTGGTGTCACTGCTGGCGTCATCTTCATCACACTCCACGACCTCCTCCTCCTCCTCCTCCTCAATCCTTTCTTCTTCTAGAATAATCCCTTCCTCCTCTATTTCCTCCTCTTTCTCTTCCTTTTCCTCGGGACACGGGAGGTGGTACGGGGAAGGACCGCGGGGGGAGGAGGACGTGACGGCGTCATCGCTGTCGCCTCCAGCTATGGCTGTTGTTACCCTGGAGATTGCCGTCGCCGTCGGTGCCGCTGATGTTGCAACGCTGGGGCCCTCCTCCTCCTCGCTCGTCATGGCAACACAACGGTCTGAGATGGGAGAGAGAGAAACAGAGGAATTAAAAATGAACTAAATTTATTATAGTTCTCTTATTCATAGAACAGGTGCTACACTTCAGCGAGAGGATGAGGAACATCGAACATATCGTGATGGAGGAATTTAGGAAACAGAAACTACTTTATTAAGGGTTTGAAGACATGGATGTGTCATAGACTTCAACAGAAACTGACTTCATTATGCAACTATGATTAGAAGTTCCTCTGATGATCAAGTCTCACAGCTAAAGGATAAAGCATCAACGGACATCACAAGTATGGCTGAAACTTCCCCGATCACATTTTTGAATTACTAATCAGGAAACAGATTTTCTGTCTGAGACACAGTGATGCGTGTTGACCATCACTGAATATTAAGTGAACTAAATAGTCGTTATGCTAAACTATAAGCTCACAGGCTGCTGGCTCATAGCTCATCCAACTCACTGCCAGAAAAACAAGTGAGAGAATCTCCCAGGACGAAAAAAAAAAAAAAAGGAGGTCTACTCTGGCAGAAACAAGAGGCAGAGAGAGAAAACAAGCACAAATGATTGTGGTTGTAAAGCAAAGTGGCTGAATGCTCAGAGGTTGGCGGGAGAAATAAAGGATCGAGGGAAGAGAGAGCGACGAACAAAAGTTCAGTGGTTTAGTCAGAGGCTTAGTGTTGGGAGAAATCAATACTGTGTAGACTGGAGAGAGAATGGACGGAGCAGGAGTCCTGATATGACTGAGTGGCACCTGCCCATGGATTTCCAATGAGTGAGCCGGACGCACGATTCTCGGCGAAAGTCCACTTCACTCATCCCCCCCGGTCGTTAAAGCAGACTCTGTTTATTTAGGCAAAAAGCAGGTTTTCAGGTTTTACTACAAAAGGCCGACTCCAGTAGACCACCAACAGTCACTGAGACACAAGGAGACAAAGAGGGACAAGGGGATCTCAGTCCATCGTCACTGTTACACCTTCACTGCAGAGAGAAGAGAGAAACCAGCTAATTCAGGCAGATGGACGAGAGAAATATCTTGTGAAGAGGAAAAACATTTATTCTAACAATGAAGAGCGAAGAGTTTCCCTCTGTGAATCACAGCAGGGAGTAAAAAAAAAAAAAAAAAAAGAGTTCTTAATGCAACAAATCTCTGCATCTGACAGAGTAATCATCAGGGCTTTGTTGAGATAACATAAAACTTTACCGAACCCTGTGGGGAAATGAGTTTTTTCGCAGCAGCGGAGAAACAGGATCTCTGCGAGGAAAGTAAAAAAGATGAACATAAACATGAGCAATAAACCGACGGTGGAGATTAAAGCAAATGAATTCACACAAAAACAGGATCTAAACAGTTGTAGATTTATTTCACCATATGTTCTTTATATTGTTGACAATTGTTAAGTAAAAACCAACAAACCCCATCAAGCCGGCTGGAAATTAGGATTGTGACGTGTTGCATTCAAATGTTCTGAATGATTCTGAAAGTCTATAAAAATGTGAAAGTGTCATTGAATGTCATATTATATTATGTGTTAGACAGATGCAGCTCTTGGTGCAGGATGTGAGGCTACTTCACTGAATCACCCGACTCCAGATAAACAACACTGGAGTGAATTCATTTGAAAAACTAACTGTGGAGGTTGGAGTCTAAGGAGTTTAACTTTAATTGTGTTGTTTCACTGTGGTTTCACCCCCCCCCCCCGCCGAAACTGAAATCCTGCATAAGGCACACGTTAGATTTCACATTTGGGACAATCCAGTGGGAAATATTGGCAGCTCTGCAACAAACAGTATTCAATACTGGCAGAACAACAAGTGATTTCTGGGTTGAAAGAAAAATGCAGTTTTATCTGGGTGAAACTAATTTACTTGAAACATATGGTATTGGATTGGTACATAGATTCACGCACTGCCTGACCCAGCGTTTAGTATTGGTATTGGACAGACAAATTCAGATTGTAGGGTTTTTTTTAATGGTTTGTTCTTCAGTGGTTTTGACAATGCTGCCCCAGGCGTAATGTTCATTTTCATAGATTTTCCTCAAACTTTACTCAACAACCACAATGATGCAGCACGAAGCAGCAAAACAGAGCGAGACTAACTTTTGCGGTGAAGCGTTATCCTGATAAGCCCCGGACTTGCCTCTCCGTGGCATTACTCACAGACACAACAAACAGGCCGGAAGCTGGTGAAAGCAGAAAGATTAAAAGTTCAAGTGGATGTTTCGTCCAGGCAATAATGAAGAATTGAGAAACTCAGAGTAGAGGGAAGAAAAAGGACTTAAAGTTCAAGTGGGATTCGGTTACACGGACACGCTTGGATGCTTTTTGGACAAATATAAAAAAACGTGGTCAGCGACTTTAGACAAGAAGACGGCAGACAGAAAAGAGAGCCTGTACAGAAAGTGCATCCAGACAGTTCCTCCCCATTATAAGTCCTGTCTCCATTAAAAATGCAAAGTGCAGGAGAGGGTGACACATCGCGGCTCATTAGGGCCGCCGGGGTGGGATAGCTGCTGTTTACTGTCGGCAGCAACACAACGCTTCGGCTTCACTGCTGTTGTGTTTGTCCTTTACAGCGAAGCCAAATAAGGTTTTGTATCGTGAATGTGACAATTTAAACTTTTGTGTCTTTGTTTGGGGTTTTTTTTTTTTTTTTTTTTTTTTAAAAGGAAGAGGGACTTTTTCAATATTCACCACAATATATACCGGATTGCTTGGTGCATTCTCAGTCCCTGAACCACTGATGAAATGCACCATTAGCCTCTGCACACTGTATTTCTACCTGTTCTCTGTCTGCAGGCTGGTGCAGTGCGACACACAGACTTCAATTTAATCCAAAGAAATAGCGAACACATACATCAGCACTTTCCTGGCCTTTGTTTCTTCTGATGGACCAAATTTAGGCTCAGATGTGAAGAACACGGCATGAGATTGTCTGGGTCACACATTTTGACAACAGGATACAAGTCTGGAGCATTCAGGTGACGGACAGCACCTGGGTAGAGCATCCAGGACTGAAACATTGAATTTATATATAATATATAATAGTGGTGATTTCAGTAGAGGAAACACAACAACAGTTTAACAGCGTTACGAGTGACTTTGCAAGAGAGTGTTTTTTTAATGTTTTGAAGAACAAGAAAAATGCTCCTTTGAATGCCGTGACGTAATCGCATCACTCTGGTGACCCACTGGTTTATTCAAAACAAAACAGATTCCCGAAAGTCAAAGGCTATTCCATTACTGAATTACTCTGAGGGAGAGAAAACAAACATGTCAACATTACTGCCAGTGTCAGTGACCTGAAGATGCAGTAAATCATTCTGAGGAGCATCTTAGTCAACATGCCTCGTTAAGTCTGAACTAACGACTCGTGTTACTGAATCACTCTGTTGAATAATAACCATAATTTTACCGGGGCAACAGACAGTGGATGTTAAACAAGATGGGTTTTTTTTCGAACGGCGAGAGCAGCTATAGCTCAATGTCAAACAAAAAGCCTGTCTATCTTACATTTGCGGCCTCATCCAGATCCATGCCAGCATGCATTGCTTCTCAAATAGATGATTTAATGATGAAATGATTATTCTGCTGAAAGATTAAGATTATTCAACAAACATTTTAAATACTGTTTTACCCATTTATCCTGGTTTCAGCTTCTTAAAGGTGAGGATTCACTGCTTTCATTTACTGTGAATGTGTCGCTGTGGACTCACAATTCTCCCAGTTCTCTAAATTCAAGAACAACCAATTGATTAGCTGTGAAAATACAACCGTACAATTAACGTCGAGTGGAGCTTGGTGAGCCACATTCCTCCACCAAGGCCAAAAGCCCATCGTGTCACAGGGAGGTCCGGGACCCAATTTAATGAGAACTTCTTTGGGTCATCCCCCACCACATAAAAAAATCATGTAAATCAATAATCAATCAATTTTACGTTATCCTGACAGTCAACAAATGACGTGGACATGACCCCTCTTGACAGAGGCAGCGATTGCTCAGTTAAGGATCTAAATACATCCTCCAGCACGGGTTGAAGCTCTGGACAGTAAAGCTAATTTCATGGCTTAGATGTTGGTATACTCAGCTGAAAGGCAATAAAAACCTCACTGCCATCTCCTCCACGTTGTTGTTAGGCCTGAGTGGCGTGTGTGCGTGTGATTAACGACACCTGTCAGACACGGATCGACCTTTTACTGATCACACGTCAGCAGCCGGCTCGTACATCACAGACTCCCACAAAGCTTAAGGGTTGCGATGAATCTAGAAGCCTGCCATAGTGGAAGGAGGGAGGGGCATTTGAAATGTACAGAGAGAGAGAGAGACAGAGAGAGAAAGAGAGAGAGTCTGTGCAGTGAATTATTTAGTAAAGAATAAAAAGTGAGATTGAGTTTTTCCTACAGATATATTTGATTTATTATATTTTGAGCACTAATCAGACTAATGCAGTACTAGTACAGTAGGCCTGTGTTATATAGACTACACAAAAACACACAAACACACACAAACACACAGCTCAGGAACGATTTAATTAATTTGCTTAGTCTGTTAAATATACATGAGGTCTGAAAGCAGGGCTGCTGAATTGCCTGTAAGAAATGTCTCAGTGTGCGTGAGTGTTTGTGTGTCAAGTCATGGAGGGGTGTCTGTGTATTTTCACGTCTTCTGCACATGCACTGACTCATTCCTCGGCCTGCAGAACAATCGATGCTGCGACTCAAAGTATTTCGGAGGTCCTGCAGTAAGTGGCTGCTTTGAACGCAGCGATTTTTCATTAGATGCTCCGTCAGCATCCGATGCCCCAATTTGCGAAGACATTAAGACGTTAATTCTGTTCGACACTAAAATAACCACTGAGCTGTAACAAAGCTTTACTGTATTAACAGGCCGCTTCCCAACCGATGACCAAACAACAGACTTTTATCAGTGGATTCTTCTTTTTATTCAACAAAAGCTGCCGTAGAAACGAGCGAGCGAAAGCTGAATCCCCTCTTGTGGTACAGTCGG